TCTTGTCCACCAATACTCCCAAGTCCTTCTCCTCAGAGCTACTCTCTATCCATTCTCCACCCAGCCTGTGTTTGTACTTGGGGTTGCCCCAACCCAGGTGCAGGACCTTGCATTTGGTCTTGTTGAACTTCAGTGTGATAGCTGCAATTTTTTGTTTCTGCATATCTGTGTTACAGGGATGAGACAACTCTATGTGAATACTCTTGGTCCAGGACCACTATAGGTTGAGTGCCTGCTGCCCTTTGAGGCTTCTCTAGCACAACGAGGCAATAATGATACAAATATTTCCACTGTTGCCTCTTTCTCTCTCTCCAGGATACCAATGAAATAATGGAATCACACAGTAAAATTGGTGAGGAAACATCTATGCAAACTTCACAGAGCACTGAAGGTCCTGACACGGGTGATGGCAGTCAGGCTATAGTGAGTTTGAAGGCTGTGTTTGGTTATGGTAATGCTACTGGAGCTTGTTGTAGTGTTTATGATGTGGTAGGACACCTACAATCTTTTGTGGGCTGTTTCACATTGTTAGTTTGGGTGAAAATAAATGCATTTTGATTTGCTCCTTGAAAATGCAATTTACTTGGGAACAAAACGGAGTATTTTCAGGAAGGAAGATGCTGGCATTCATACACACCTGAATGGAAGGATTTAAGTGATGTAAACATACATCAACTATGGGATTTTTAAGTGGCAGTTAAAGAAGAAATTAATGAGATTGCCACTCCTACATGTTGCTACTTTGCAGAAGGCACGCACAGGCTAGAGGAGGAGTGGGCAGCAGCCTATAGGCTGTATACAAAAGCGTATATGGAGACAGACGTGAGTGCTCCTGGAAGGCCAGAGCAGCAGACCGGTAGCAGAGCAGCCTCAGCTGTTGCTGGGTTTAGAGTGCAGAAGAAGCCCAAATCCATCATTGCCTGGGGTACCCACAGCCTGTTGGGCTTAGTGATACGAAAGTTCAGTGGAGTGGTTTCTTGAGCTGGATGTGGTGGCTCTGTGGTCTGTGGAGAGAGCGCTGCCAGGCTGTGGGCCAGGGTCTTTCTCTGCTCAAGCAGACAGTCTTCTTAGAGAAGGTCCTCTTTCCTCAAGCCATACCAGACAGATTTTTTGCTTGCAACATCTTTTCCACTTCAGTGTTTTGCTACACTAACATTTCCATATGCTACAAAACTCCCTGTAGCAAGTGATTTTTATTATTTTTTATTATTATTAGATTATATATTTACAAGATCAATTACTATTTGGAGACAGGAAGACATTTATTTTTATAAATGGTAAATCTGGTTTGTTTGTTTTTTTCCCCTAGAGATGTGTGTATGTGTAGAGATTTATGGACTTGATTATATATATATATACCCTATTTAGACCTTAACTGCACACTAAAATGAAATAATGCCTACTGTCCTAGTGACTGCTAAATTATACCACTTCCTCCCTCCGGCATGGTGTCCCTGCCATGCAAACATACCTGCTTCCAAATTCAGTTCTAGCAGCCTAAAACTTAATTTCAAATTCAGAAAAACATTTGAATTACCGTGTGTCAGTTCAGCTGTGGTAACTTGGGGAATGTGAAACTCAAGGGCAGCGTTGGCTGGAGTGACTGTGAAATGGTGGAATTCAAGATACTTAGGGCAATGAGGAGAGCACACAGCAAGCTCACTACCTTGGACTTCAGGAAAGCAGACTCCAGCCTCTTCAGGGACCTGCTTGGTAGAGTACCATGGGATAAAGGCCTGGAGGGAAGACAGGCCCAAGAAAGCTGGTTAATATTCAAGGATCACCTTCAAGCTCAGGAGCAGTGAAACCCAACAAAGAGGAAATCAGGCAAAAACGCCAGGAGGTCTGCATGGACAAACAAGTTGCTCCAAGTCAAACTAAAACACAAAAAGGAAGCCTACAGAGGGTGGAAGCCAGGACAGGTAGCCTGGGAGGAATACAGAGAAATTATCCAAGCAGCCAGGGATCAGGTTAGGAAAGCTAAAGCCCTCATAGAATTAAATCTGGCCAGGGATGTCAAAGGCAACAAGAAAAGCTTCTATAGGTATGTCAGTGATAAAAAGATGACTAGGGAAAATGTGGAGCCTCTCCAGAAGGAAACAAGATATTTGGTTACCCAGGATATGGAGAAGGCTGAGGTACTCAGTGATTTTTTTGCCTCTTTCTTCACCGGCAAGTGCTCAAGCCACACCATCCAAGTCACAGAAGGCAAAGGCAGAGACTGGGAAAATGAAGAACCTCCCACTCCACTAGGAGAAGATCAAGTTCAAGACCCTCTGAGGAACCTGAAGATGCACAAGTCCATGGGAACTCATGAGATTCATCCATGGGTCCTGAGGGAACTGGTGGACACTGTTGCCAAGCCACTAGCCATCATATTTGAGAAGTCATGGCAGTTCTAATACCTGAAGAGGGCCTACACGAAAGCTGGAGAGGGAGTTTTTGCAGGGCAGGTAGTGCTAGGACGATGGGTAATGGTTTAAACTTGAAGAGGGTGGGTTTAGATGAGATATTAGGAAGAAATCCTTCACTGTGGGGGTGGTGAGATACTGGAACAGGTTACCCAGGGAAGTTGTGGATGCTTCCTCCCTGGAAGTGTTCAGGGTTAGGTTGGATGAGGCTTTGAGCAACCTGGTCTCGTAGGAGGTGTCCATTCCAACTCAGACATTCTATGATTCTATGGCACTACCACTCCATAAACTGTGGCGTGCTGTTGGTCTTGGCACACGAACGCTTGATGTGTGTGTTCGCATAATGAGCCTGTGCAGACAATACCAGTTTGTTTTATTCAACTAATTTGACTGTATATCTGAGTTTTTATTTAGAATAGACTGGAACAGACTATTTTGGCTGCAAGGGACCTACAATGATCATTTAGTCCAACTGCCTAACGCTGCCTAATGTCTAAATTTCTGTAAAAGGAGGGGTTACAGTTCACTGCAGTATCAGTGTCTAGCTGGGAAGGGGCAGAGCATGCCACAAGCCTAAACTAAATCCTTATGTACACATTCCGGTGTGATGAAAAGGTGTCATGCACAGTATTATACATGTGTAATGTTTTGTTATTTAAATGAGTGAACTAAACCAAACAGGCTTAGAATTAGAGCTGGAAATTTCAGGTGGAGGTTGAAGTAAGCTGGTATTTTTTTGTTTCTTGTCATATATACCTCAATAGACATATTTAGACTGTTCTGGGATCTGTATACTCAGATTTACTTTCTGTTTAGTGGCACTGTCCCATACTATCTCAGAGGCAAACAAGAACAGTAATGATTCAGCTGAAACTTTGATGGCTGAAACAATGCATTTTTGCTCTCTGATTTTCTGCCAAATCTCATTTTAACAAGGAGCTTATGGACTCCTACTGACCATCTCAGTTGTGTGAATGTACACTCTGGAGCTGCAGGAACGTACAGGTAGTTTTGTTCCTGTGGTGCTGTGCTTGTTTTTACATACTAAGTACCAGTATTTGCATGTGTGGAGGTATACACAGACCTGTACAGCCTTCCAAGCAACTGCTGATATCTCCAAGCACTTTAGACTTCTCCTTTATTGTGGAAGTGTGCAATGTTGCTTCTTAAAGGAGGGCAAATAAGAAGAAAGACTTACTTAAACATACACCATTTCTTTCTGTGTGACCTAGCGCCCAAATAAAGTATATTTGACTCTTGGAACCGAACACATGCAGGTAGCTTATTAGCATTGCCCAACAGCTTACTTTGCAACTTTAAACTGCATTGCTTCTACATGTAACTCCCACAGAAAAACATCTCTCCTCAGGGGAGAACTGGTTAATGGTGAGTCATCCCACTTCCTGTGCACTCAGATATACCTGTGCAAATGCAAATTGCAGCCTGGAAACCTGTTACACCAGATCCTGGATTGCCTGGCTGCTGAGTTTCCCTTTCTTTTTCTTTTTTCCTTTTTTTTTTTTTTTTTTTTTTTTAATCTGGGAACACAGTGGCAGAGTGATTTCGGAGCTCTGTGAATGTGAAAGTTAAACATTTCCCACTGGTAAGAGGAGGAGAAAGAAAAAAAATCCAGATAGATAACCACGTTTCTTTCATGTGCTTTGATTCAGGGTGACAAGCTGCCTCCTGTCCCCAGCGCTACCCAGGGCTCTCGAGGGAAAGCGGGAAATTCGGAAGAAGAGGTGTGTTGCGGTAGGTCTGGTCCAGAAACGGTTCTCCAGAGATGCCAGGCCCAGGTTGCAGAGCTGGAACGGTGGCTAGACAAAACCAAAATGTTCCTGAGGTCACAGCCCCAGAACCCCAAAACGCAGCAGATGGTGGAACAGCAGCTTGCTGATTGCCAGGTAAGACAGAGTGGTCAGTTTGCTGCTGTCATCCAAACAAGTTGCCCTTCCCTGGGCCGTGTGTCTGCAGAAAAGCTATGTTTGCTGCTTCTCCTCTCACTGCTTAATCAACTTCAATACACTGCAGAAATCAGATAACTGCTTGGCTTCAGTTTCAGGTGCAGCTTTCCAAGGGCTTAGTTAAAATACCTATTTTTAGAATTAGGATCTTTATGCATCTAGGGGATTTAGGTGGAACTCTTGAGTATTTTTAAAGCTCTTTTTTTTTTTTCTTTGGATTATTTTCAGAAACATAGTTTGCTATAGTTTGAATTCTTTATTAAAAAGCAGTTTTTCATTGGTCTCAATCGCGATAAATCATTTAGAAAAAAAGGAATATTTTTTTTTCTTTTGACATTTTTTTCTTTTGACATTTATCTCCCTTATGAGGAAAGGCTGAGGGAGCGGGGTCTCTTTACCTTGGAGAAGAGGAGACTCAGGGGGGACCTAATTAATGGTTCTAAATATGTTAAGGGCGAATGTCAGGAGGATGGAGCCAGGTTCTTCTTAGTGATGCCCAGTGGTAGGACAAGGGGCAATGGGGGTGAGCTGGAACACAGGAGGTTCCGCTTAAACTTCAGAAGAAACTTCTTTCCAGTGAGGGTGACAGAGCCCTGGGACAGGCTGCCCAGGGAGGTTGTGGAGTCTTCTTCTCTGGAGACATTCAAGACCCGCCTGGACACCTTCCTGTGTGATCTTGTTTAGGTTCCTGCTCCGGCAGGGGGATTGGACTGGATGATCTTTTGAGGTCCCTTCCAATCCCCAACACTCTGTGATTCTGTGATTTTCACTTTCTGGTTTTGTCATAGTGGTTTAAAAGACTGGTATAAGATAGCTTCCAAGCTGGTAAATTCGTCTTTTGCACTTTTTGGAAGAAGCTGCCAACATAGGTAGAAAGACTGGGACTTTCCCCCTGCGCTCTGTGAGCAGTGGTGATATTTGGACCTACTGCCATACTTCCAGGGCAGCCTCTTGCCTCGTATGGCAGCGGAAGGAAAGGAGTGGGTGGTACCTGTTGATGAAAATGAGTGGAGGAAAACAGGACTGGCATGAGGGGCTGGGGTAGGTGGAAGTCCTGGCATGCAGCTATTGTCTCTGGCCAGCAGATTAAAAGAAAACGTACAGGCATGTTACTTTGAAGTTCCCTGTGATGTCAGTCTGGTGTGCCAGTTTGCTTCAAGCACTGAGTCTACCTGAAGCAATAAATTTCACTCATCATAAAGGAGCCAATATCAAAATATCCACATTTTAAATTACTAGGAGACATTTCCAGCTGTTTTGTTGTTGTTGAGTGGGGTTTTTTTTAATAGGAACTGAGTCCATGCCAAGAAGTGCCTCTGGGTTTAGGCTGTGATTCAGCCAAATGCTCAGGTGCTGAACTCTGTGGGAATCAGGATCCTGAATGCACCTAAGTAGCTGGCTGTGTCTGGATCCCATTCGGGGTTCATGCCAGCGTAGGCTTCGGGAGGGAAGTTCCAACCCACAAAACCAAGCAGGCTGCAGGCAGCTGTAAGCACGGCTCAATTCCTGTCAGCTTTTAACGGTTTGGCTCAATGTTAAGAGGTGAATTTGGTGGTGAGGTTTTCTAACCTAGTCAAGATCTACGCAGAAAAATACACATAGCACGAAGCAGCAAGTCTCTAGATATGGACATATGATGTAAAGCAGTTAATTTACTGCAGTTGATTACTTTGCAGTTGAGCCATGATACCTGTCACCACACTCACCTTAAAAACGTGAGATTAAGGTAATGCAGAGGTGCATTTGATTCACAGCAGCTTGACTGAAAAAACAGATCCCAATAGTTTGCAATGGCCTGTCTGACACTTGGTAACTTTACTATGTTTTGGTAATTCGGCATCATTCCTTCCAAAGGATGATATGATCAGTCTGTGCACTGCCTCCTTCTCTCCCATGGGGGTGTGTTTTCTTCTTTGTTGCATCCAAATGGTCTATCCTTTCTGCTTTCCTCATTTATTACTCCATATCTGAGCTAATATAACCTCCTGCAGAGGCTATTATTTGAAACAATTTTAAGACTAACCCTATGTAAAATTTATGTAGTTTTTCAGAATAAAAAGAGACTATATTGGAGAACATCTATGGGGGTTTGCAGCTATTTCTCTTTTTACCTGTATGTTTCTATTCTTTTCAGGCAGAGAAAGTGTGATCAGTGACTTCAGAATGTTATCAGGAAAGGAGTGTTGTACTTCTAAGAATGAATAATTGACTGGTGTCCCTTCTAGGTGGTGTTATCAGAGATTGAACAAAAGGTCCTTTCTTTACTGGAAGATTGTGGAGACAGTGCAGACTACCAACAAGAGACAGAGGCTCTTTCCTTGAAGCTGAAGGAAGTGAAATGCAATTTGGAAAAAGTCCAGATGATGCTGGAAGACAAATGCAATGAAGAGCAGGTAAAGCATATGAATGCTATGCAGAGCAAGAGTGAGAGAGTCATGGTGCTTTGATGTGCTGTAATTGCAGAAGAACAGTTAGAGCTCACCATGTGAGGCAAGGAAGGGAGAAAAGTCCATCAGAAATGTCAGACTTGCTATTATTCTAATTTACACGGGGCTGTGTCATTGTTTGTAGTTTGCAGCAAGTAGTGGATTTTTAATAAGTGTCTGATCAATATCTTTTCTGCTTTAAGTGCTCAGTGAGAGGGGTCAGGATTTTGCAAGGAGTACAGGGAAAGGATAAAATTTTTTTTTGTTTTGGTTTGTTTATTTAAATGCCTTTAAAATGCCATGATATTTGTCTGTGACAGTGTTACAGCAGAGAGGCCTTTAAGCAGTAACTTTCTCTTTGAAGAATGCATAAATGACAAGGGCACTAACTCTGCCAGCTCTCCTGTGCCACAGCTGCACACTCTTTGAAAAGTTTGCCAATGAGTGAGACAGTAACTCCCAGCTTCAGAGCTAATTCCCACTCTGTTGTGCAAGGGGCTGGAGAAGCCCAACTGACATATTTGTGTAAGAGCAGCCTCTGGTGCTGGAGGAGCACAGTCTGAAAGGGAGAGAATTAGTGCTGGTAAAGGCCCCTGTTGGAAATATCTCTGTAAGCACAGATAATCCAGGTGCATGAGCAAATTTGTAAGCATAAATTACACATCCTTATAATTTGGTCAAACAAAAAGAATGGAGGGTTAGTATCAATTAGTCTGCTAACAGGAAAAACAAAACAATCCTTGTAACTGTCAAGGAGAAAAATGTGAAGTCTTTAGCAGCAAGTTAGAATGGATGAAACTTTCGGTGAATGGAATTGGACAGAAATCTTTAAAGAGTAGCAACTGTGTTTCATGCCTTGCTGATTCTATGTGTGGTAGGTCAGAGACAGCTCCTCTTTTGCCATTTCAACAAACTGCACCTGTGGGTTCTGCCCTCTTGTCAAGTCTGGAAGCCTTCCCACAACAGGTCTCCCTTTAGAGATTCACAACTGGGAAGGGATTGGCCCAGAGCCCCTTGAATCATAGAATCATACAATCGTTTAGTTGGAAAGACCTTTGAGATCATAGAGTCCAATTGTATCTGTCCACTACTAAACCATATCTCTGAGCACCTCATCTAGCCATCTTTCAAACACCTCCAGGGATGATGACTCAACCACTTCCCTAGGTAGCTTGTTCTAGTGCCTGATAACCCTTTCAGTGAATAAATTTTTCCTGATATCCAATCTGTACCTCCCTTGGTGCAACTTGAGGCCATTTCCTCTTGTTCTATCACTTGTTACTTGGGAGAGTTCTGAGACACACACCTGCCTCGCTACAACCTCCTTTCAGGTAGTTGTAGACAGTGGTAAGGTCTCCCCTCATTTGAGATCCTGCACTCAAATGGCTCCAGCATGCGACAGCTTGCTGTTGCTGAACAGCTGCTCATTTGGCATAATGGTTTCCAGCACCCACAGGTAATTCTCCTACTGTCCAGGAGCCAGGCTGCTCCACATCCCCTGTGGGTGTCAGGGACAGCTGCATTTATTACCTGCTGCAGTTTTCACTGTGGGATAAAGTCTGTCAGCTGGTAGGTTTCAGCCACCTCTCTCCTCCAGGGTTAGGGGTACTCATCAAGATGGAGAAAGGCCTCACCTCTAAAATCTCATGTCCAAAAGGTTTAGTAATATTTCAGAGCTAGATGTTCTCCTGATACTTGCATTGTATCATACTGATTCAGATGGCATCACCCATCCCTCCAATCTCTTGTCTTTGAAGCATTGATGTATTATGAAATCTGAATCTATATATTGACATCACTTTTGAACATCAATTTGAAACTAAAGATTCACATTAAATAAGTGCACATAACTTCTTTTACTGTTCACACTATTCTCTCTGCACAGGATCTGCAAGTAAAAGCGGCTGAGCAGAAACGCCTCATTGACTTCATTGAGTCGTGTGTGGAAAAAATGCAGCCACAGTTTCAGGACAGCGTGACTCAGGAATTAGAATTAAGGTACAAAATAACAAAATCAGCTACCAGATTCAGTGATGTACAAGTGCCTACACCTGCTGAAACTTTGCAGTGGCACCATTGGTTCTGTGCAGTGATGGTATCAGGCAGGACTGACACACATGCCACAAACTACATCAGACCCATCTGGAGGCAAGTTGGGTATCTCTGTTCTTAGCCAGTGCTGTACAAATGCATGGAGATACCCAACCAGATTTAAAACCAGCATCTTTGGAAAGGGGACATTGGGATCATGCACCTTCCAGCATGCTTCAGAACCTTGCTCCCCATACTGTCATTTCAAAGATGGAGGCTGCCAACAGGCCCCAAGGGTGTTTCAAGGGAAGGGAAAAGCCCAGATAAATGTATCAAGGATAAAGATCATCCATGCACTTGGTTTCACTCTGGTTTTGGAGCAGGAGCAACAGAAACTAATCTTAGACAAGTCTCACAAATCTAATTTTGCTTATTCTGCTTCAGTATTTGCCATTTTAACAATGTTTTCTCAATACAGCAATGGAGAATCTGATCCAAAGAGCAAGCAGGCTGATCCTGCCTTAGCTGCAAAGGACCAAACGGGTAATAAATGGCAATATTTACAACAAGAGCTGTCATCAAGGATGAAATCTCCTCTCTGCCAGCTTGTGGAACCTCAGGTCCGTTTAAGTTCTGTAAAACAC